CTCTGGGATTAAAGGTGTGTGCACTAGGCCTGGCTTTTTTGTTGTTATTGTTAGAATCTGTTGATTTTTATAAACAGAAAATGACCGATTGAATCCTAGTTGCTACTACCAATATCATAATTGGTTTGTTCAGGGGAAAATTTTACAAAATTTAATTCAATAAAATTTAATATCCATTTCTTTTGTTTTATTTGGACCTATAAAATACAAAATATATTTTTTCTTGACTTGAGTAAAAATGGCTTATTTGAGATTGATGGTTATGTAATATTTAACTGTAAGGTCCAAGATATGGTCCCCCTCAGACTGTTCACAACCAGCTGATTCCCTTATTATCTACAATGACTTTGGATCAGCGATGTTAAACCTGTGGGGCTTGACTCCTTTAGTAAACTCCTGTCTACAAAAATATCTACATTATGATTCATAACACTAGCAAAATTATGATTATGAAGTATTAATGAGATAATTTTATGGTTGGGGGTCCCCACAATATAAGGAGCTGTATTAAAGGGTCACAGCATTAGGAAGGTTGAGAACCCCTGCCTTAGCTGTTCTGACCAATGCCAGCCATGTCCATTGATGGGCTAAGGTGAGATAAAGTGGGACCATCGTGGGCAAACATTGAGACCCTGTCTTAATATCAAAAAAATAGAAGCTTCAATAACATACATAAATACTCTAACCAGTGGAAAGGCCAACAGTCACTAGAAAATCTAAGCACGTAGTTTAAAGTTTGCTTAAGTTGAGCTGGGGCTATAGCCCAGCAGTCAGGAGCTTGTCTAAGTGTGAAGCACTGAGTTCAATTCACAAGTCCATTAGAAGAAAAAAAATGAAAATTTGGGGCTGGGGAGGTGCCTCAGTTGGTAAGAATATACAAGCAAAAGGACCCTGGGGCTTGCTGGCATCCGTCTAGCCAATCAGTGAGCTCCAGTTCAGAGAGAAGTCCTATGTCAATGTAATAATAAAAGATGGAGGGGCTAGGGAGATGGCTCAGTTGGTAAAGGGCTGGCCACACACATACAAGGACCTGAGCTCAGATACCCAGTGTATATGGCCTGTAAAAGCTGGCCAGGCAGTGTGCCTGCACACCAGTGTTTGGTGAGATGGAGAGTACAGACTCACGGACAGACCGTCCTAGCCAACTGGTGAACTCCAGGCTCACCCAACTTTAACCTCGGGCCTCTACATGCACAGTACATGTTCATGTGTACCTGGATATGTGTGGACACGTACCACACAAACTCATATAGACATCGACAAAAAAATTAGAGAGCAGTTAAGAAAAAACACCCAATGTTGCCCTCAAGCCTCCACATGCATGTATGCACATATACAACACATGCACACAAATGCACACACATGAACATGTATACACATATATTCACACACACAAAAATATTACAAAAATAAAATGGGGCAAGTGAGATGACTCAGCAGGTTAAAGGTGCCAATGATGGGTGATAACAATGATAAAATGAAACAACAGTAATAAAATTGGCATCTCTTCTTTGGTGCGTGAGACCCTGTGATAGACAATGTTACAACCAGAGTAGTTCCTAAGTGACTGAGAGCTAACACATGGGATTGGCCGGGGATTTGCTGGACAAAAAGATGATTCGTGTCGGAGAAAGGAGGGAGCAGAACAGTACAAGATCACATCACATCGTTGAAAATGGTGTGCATTTTTAAACGTCTTGTTTCTTTCCAGGTTGTTTTGGTTCATGTTTTCAGCTCCAATTGGCTGTAGCTGAAACGGAGGGAAGTGAGGTTGTAGGTGACAGAGAACGGCTGTAGCCCTCAGTATCACCCTCAGTCACAGGCTGCTCCACTGGCAATCAAGGAGCTTTTGTTTGCGACAGTTCCGTGAACTGAAAAGATTGGCTGCCCAGGTCTGCAGAAGGAACCACCCTTCGAGGAGGGGCGTGCTCAAGGAATATTGCCTCGGGGAACCCTCACACTGTTCCTCTTGGATCCTCCGTTGTGGGAGGTACTGGATAAGAGTTTCCCCGACTTGTGTCGTAATAAGGTGCAGAGACACTGATTTGCTTTAGCAGTCAATCGATGGCTGTGTGTCTGTCTATAAGCTGAAAATATGGACCACAACCAAGAGACCCTGCCTCGTGAATTCTTGCTCTTAAGGAGCAGGCATCCAAATGCCTCCGCGGAACTGCTGCAGAATTTCAAGACCATCTCACTGGTGAACCGGACCCACCAGGGTGAGAGGTATTTTAGACTCAACGCCAGCGAGGATTTGCAAACATGGATTTCTCGGCTCAGCAAGATCAGAGCTCAGCAGTAAAAAGACACTGCTTTTTCCATTTTTTTTTCTTTTTTTTTTTGTTGTTGTTTTGGGTTTTTTTTTTCCCCTTGTGTGTTTTTGGTTTTGTTCTTGTTTTGAGGTACCCTACTCCTTCAAACAGTCCTACAGATGGCTTTGTCAGGTACACCCTCCAGGACCTTAGATAGAAGGAAGCCCAGAGTGTGGTGTCTCAAGAGAACCTGGGAAAAAGAGGGACCAACACTCTCAAGGTTGGCTCTTCCAGCCTGCTCCTGGGGCTCATTGTTGCCTCAGGCTGTCCGGACACGGAGAGGGTGAGAAGTGTGTAGTGTGCACGTGCGCGTGTGTTACACTGGATCTCAGTAATGTTTGCCTAGAGAAGGGGCTTCAACCTGATTGTTAAGGCCAGAGGGCTGCCCAGTCCAACCCAGGGCCGCAGAACCTGCTCCTTCAGCTCCACACTGCCACCTTGTGGTTGCAGATGCAGTTTCCTCGCCACCCTCCCTGCCAACTCCCATACTGCCTGCTCAATAAATCAGGTTTAATTTTATCTTGTGAAGTCCATTATCACTATTTAAAAGAATAAACATGCACGGGATTTTTCTGGATATTAAAAAGTTGTAGTGGTTAATTTCAACCTGGACTTTGGAGGTCTGGACCCAGCAGGGAACCGCGGCGGCTGCGTGACCACTTTAGACTAGACCTGTTTACATACAAAACACAAGCATAGTCACCTAGGAAATCAGTTGCTGGTACCAAATAACTTAAAAATCCATCCTGAGGAATTCCTATAATTAACTGGTCAGCCTCCTAAAAAATCAGTATCATCTCTGCCCCGCCCTGGTGTCCTATTCTTATATGGTTGTTTCCGATTAGGTTGGTTGGTTTGTTTGTTGGATGGTTGGTTGGTTTTTCAAGACAGGGTTTCTCTGTATAGCCCTGGCTGTTCTGGAACTCACTCAGTAAACCAGGCTAGCCTTGAACTCACAGATCCTCCTGCCTCTGCCTCCTGAGTGCTGGGATAACAGATGTGTGCCCCTATGTCCAGTGCTATGTAAGTTTGGGGTTTTGTTTATTTTTGTAATACTAGGGTCAGAGGGCTAAGCCCAGGGCCTGCTGCTTGCTAAAGGACTGGTCTGCCACTGAGCTATGCCCCAGCTAGTTTTACTTTGATTTCAGAATGGGGTCTTGCTAAAACATCCAGCCTGGCCCTGCATTTGCTCTGTAGCCCAGGCACTTCTTGAATTTACAATCCTCCAGCCTCCTGTAGAGCCGAGGTTGCAGCCTGTGGATGCAGGCCCAGATTTCATCTGTAGATTTTAAGGGATCCACAGTGCACAGGGTGACGTGAACTGTATATCCGTGTGCCCAAGGTAGAAGCAGTGTGACTCAGTTTATCCCGGTGTTAATCGGGCTCGCTCCCCACAAGGTCCACCTGCTTGTATCCCACGCGAGGCTCTCTCACTGATCCACAGTGTCTATGAGAACTCCCTCGGGGCTACACAGGCTGTCACTCATGGCCTTAGGCCAGATTCACCTTTGTTCCAGGAACATCATACAGTGGACTCCCAAGGTCCCAGGTCCAGTGTGTGGTCACTTCACATTGGTCTTGTTGTAGAACCTGCTTTCTGGAAAAGATTCAGGGCAGTCTTCCCATGGGAGAAACGGCTGGGGCCCCAAAGACAACCACAAGTAAATTTTCCTTGTGCAGTTCATAGAGAAAGTACAGGAGTAGGGGACTACTGGAGACAAAGAGTAGGTAGAATGGGGTGTTAGCCAACCTGGGTCCGGGGTCCTTTTTCTTCTTCCTGAATTATAGGTTCTCCAGGCCCAAGGGCTTGGGAGCTGCCCCTCTAGCCTCAGCCTAAGAGAGACCGTCACTTCCTACTGTGACACTAGTAGAGACTTCTTTAAACACTCTCCCAACAAAGTGGCATTGTCATTTCTAGTTCATAAATAAAGGCAATACTGCAGGAAGAAATCGGTGACTTGCTGAGTTCATACAGGAAGACAAAGAGCAAGACACAAACCCAAATTTTTGGGATGCACACTGGGGTTCCTTCTGAGTCCCAGTCACACTGCAAAGGAATTCGTTAGTACCTTCTCTGCTATAGGCAGCAGAGCCAGGGACTGCGGTCAGAAGGTGGGATGTTGGGTAGCGAGGTGCAGAAGATTACATAAGCAGGGAAGGGAATGTCTTCAACTACTTGGACTGACTGGACGCGGTGTGCGTCCCAAGCCCAGATCCGCACGATAGATGGGCAGAGAAGAAGCAGTTAGAAGTCTGGGGCTGCCCCAGGCAACAGAAGCCTCAGGACAGAGAGAGCGTGGGTGACTCCCTCCTGACTGCCTTGCACACCTTTAACACCCCCTCCCCCTTTGTGTGCGTTTGCTGCTCTCCAGTTTTCTGTACCAAAGGGTTGGATGCTCTGCTCAGTCATAGCATCCTTAGGAGGCTTTTTAGGGCGGAGTGGCTCTGATACACACCATGACTGAAAGCAACTCAGGGAGGAAAGTGTTTATTTCAGCTTACAGCTCCCAGGTCACTAATTCGCTGGCACTGGGGGAGTCAGGGACTCAAGACAGGAGCCTGGAGGCAGGAACTCAAGCGGAGGTCGTGGAGGGGGGCTGCTTACTGGCTTGCTTTCTCTCTTATTTTTAATTTTTAAAGTAATTTCTTTTATTTTTTAAGATTATAATATAACTACATCACTTCCCCCTTCTCTTTCCTCCGTCCTAACTCTCCCATATACCCTTCCCTTCTCGCTTTCAAATTCATGTCCTCTTTTTTCATCAATGGTTGTTACATACATATATGCACATACATATATATTCCCTAAATAAATATAAACCGCCCAGTCTGTATGATGTTACTTGTATGGATGTCTTCAGCTCAGTCTTCCTTCTTATACAGCCCATGACCACTTTCCCAAGGGTGGCACCACTCACAATAGCCAGGCCCTCCCACGTCAATCACCAGCCAAGAAAATGCCCAGACCAGGCTGCTCAAGGCAAGTCCTCAGCTGAGGTTCCCTCCTCCAAGATGAGCATAGTTTGTGTCAAGCTGACACAGGAGCAGTGTCTTTACAGAGGCACAATCACTCTTCAGAGATCCCCAAGGCATGGGGGAGCGAGCCTGACCCTTAGAGTTTCCCTCAAAAGCTTGCAGATCCATCGTGACTGCAAACCGCATGTATACCCACGTCGTCTGAACTCTCCTACTGAGCTAGCCAGGCTCAGCACGCTACTGACTGTAGTCACTGCTAGGCCAGGACCAGGACCCAGCTGCCCTGGCCTGCTGCGGACTGGTGCTTTTTGTATAATCTTGGCTGTCCCTGAGACCCAGAATGAAGGCAGGGAAGTTCCTCTAAGATTTTAGCTCCCCTGGAAATAATCAGGAAAAGTGGGACCAGGCCTGAGGTTTCACCTTTCTTCGCTATCTCTTCTTCCTATCTCAGGAGGATTCAGCAATGCAGAGGTCAAAGGGACCCTCTCTGGTGTGGTGGAACCTAGCAGAACTGAAGTAAAGGAGAATACGCAATTATGAAAATGGGGCAATCCTAGAGCCTGCTGGCTAGAATGCCCTTTGTGGGTTTGTGCTATTACCCATTCCGGCCTTGCAAAGTCATGGCCGACTAGAGCCGAGAAAGACTCTAGAGGCCATCTCGCTATAGGTGAGGAAGCTGAGACTTGGAAGTGGAGGTGGCTTCCCAGGACAGAGCAGAGACCTTGATTCCAGCTTCTCTTAGAACCTCAGTGACCTCTAGAGCCAGGACCATGTCAGCTGTTTTCAGAAAGGAAGTCTATTCCACACAGTCTGGAGGAGACGAGGAGGAAGATCCTAGGCCTGTGGCCTCTCAGCCTTATTCCTTCTCCTGATTGTATCGTGACCATTTTTTTCTGCCTTCCCTCTGCTCCTTCTCCCTGTCTCAGCACCAGTGAGCCATACCACTGAGAACCCAGGATGTGTTCCCAGGCCACCCATCCAGTAGTAGGAGAAGAGCTAGCATTTACTTTGTCCCTACTTGGTATCAGTCCCAAATCATCATCATCGGGTACGAGGTACCACATCACCATCAAACTGCCTCATTTCTGTAGACAGATGGGTGTAGCTGGAATTCCCACACACCTGTTCTTCTTCTAATAATCTCTTCTCTTCTCTTCTCTCCCGGTGGCACTGAGATGTACCAGTCAGGTTAGAATGGGGACAATTAGCCAAGTCATGAGGCAAGCCTCTGAGCTGATAGCGCCATCCAGAATTCTATATCCACCAGTTGGGTACACTTGTGGGTGCCCTTATGAATGTGAAAGAAACAGGGAATTTGACCCGCCTGGTTTCCAGCAATCTAAAACTGAGAGAGAATGGCCAGTGCTCACTAGAGGCTGCCATGATACCTAGGGTAGTGGCAGCCATTCTAGCCTCTTTAGACTGCTTCAAACTAGGCTCTGCTCAGTACCACCACCAACCCTATTCTTCCTCATTCCCAATGCCTGAGATGTGCAGAGCCGGGTTCCAGGGAATCCTCTCTAAAAGATGCTGGTCTCCACGATGGCTTCTCCAGCCCTCTGCTCTAAACCCTTCAGTGACTCGGCAGGCCTGGGCTTTGCCTGGAGGCTGAGGTTAAGGCTGAGGCGGAGGGTAGAGGGACCACCGGAGTGGGTCAGCAGTGTTGTGCGGCGGCTAGCAAGGCTGCTGTTGGAGAGTTGCCTGTGCACCCGGGGCTGGGAACCCCTGCAGAAGACACGGTGACTCAGGGAACGTGGCAGCAGGTGGCTGTTGAAGCCCATGTAGATCCAGGGGTTACAGCAGCTGCTGAGGTTGCCCAGAAGCATGGAGATGGTGAAAGCCACATTGGTGGAATCTGCAGAGAGAGAGAGAAGCACAAAATGTCTTAGAATGGCAGCTCAAGGGTCGGGGGGCACAGGACAGAAGCTGGGTCTCCACTGAGTGGATGAAGGCATGGAGTCCCAGACGGGGAAAGAGATTGACTTGGGGTTCTATAGCCAGAGAGCGCAGTTCAGGCTTGACCTTTAGCTCCCGAGTCCCAGTCTCACTGGCCCAGTTTCAGTTGATTTGTAACCGTAGTGATAAGGTTTGGTTCAAGTTCCATTTAGAAGAATAAACACTGCCCGGGTAGGACGGGTCCAAACAGAAGAAAAAGGTTTTGCTTTAAAATCTGGACCACGAGTCTCTAATTTGAGCCTTCTCTCATTCCTTTTCTTTTGATCCTGGCTCACTCTGTAGCTAGTTCAGTCTTAAACTTAACGCAGGCCTTCTGAAACGTTCTCTGTGGTCCCCTTTCTCCCAAGAAAAATGTATGCTTCCTTGGGTATACAGGTAGACAAACGGAACATTGACTGATCAGAATCACAAAGTCATTGTATTTTTCTCTTTGATATGAAGGATTCCTTCAGCATCTACTGTAGCCTGGAGGGCATGGCTTCCTTCAGCCTGTTTTCATCATGGAAAGCTTTCTTTCTGCTTTGAGGATGGTGGACTGTAGGCTGAGGTGACTGCTGTCTTTCGGAGCTTGAAACTTATTGCTACAAGCCCTCCTGTTGCTCTGACGGGCTTGTCTTTCTGTGTGACTTGATGTTTTTCTCTTGCTGCTTCCAAGGTACTCTACAATACAATGTGGGGAAGATCTGTTCTGGTCTTATTTGGTGTCTTAAATTCTTCTTTTACCTGGGTGGGCAACTCCCTCAGATAGGCGAGTTTTGAAGCTTTGGCTTTATTGGAAATGTTTTCTATGCCTGTTAGCATGAATTTTTGTCTCTTCCTTTTATGCCCATGGTTTGTAGATTAGGTCAGGCGATCCCTTAGATCTCAAATGTTTTGCTCACCCTTCCTTACTGATTTACCTTAGTCATTGGTTGTTCCAGCTCCTCCATTTTGTCTCCAAACTCTGACACTTTGTTCTTCTCATGGTCTGCCCCTTGGCTGAGGCCTTCCACAGATTTTTCTGTTGACTTACTAGTATTTAATTTCCAATATTCAGTTTATGTTTTTTTTTTCAATATTTTGGTCTCTTTCGCGTCTTGTATTGTTTTCCTTCAGCTCTTTGTGTTCTCTTGAAACTCACTTGGGAGTTTGTGCTCTCTAGGATTAAAGTCATTCCTTCAAATTCTTTGCGTGGGATTTTTGTCTAATTCGGTCTCATTGGAGTCATTCTTCCTCGACTTTTCATGTTTCTTATGCCTTGGGGTTGGTACTTGCGCATGTGGGGTTGTGTCATTGGTTGGATTTTAAACATTCACTCTTATTCTTTCAGTAGATGTATTTACAGTGTTCAGAGAAGACGCGTGATAGTGGGGTTGGGACATCATTTTCCTCTATTAGACTTCAGGGCACCAGGAGCCGTCTCCCCTGAGAGTGGAATTGTGGAAAGACAATCGCACTCAAGGAATAGGCTTACTATGAAAATATAGTCGTAGTTAAACAACAATCACTTCCTAGGTACCAATAATTTTAGATAATAAAGAAGAATTGATAGTACTATAAGCATGAATTTATTAGCGTGGGTATGGGTAGGAAAGAAAAACGGTAAGACTAGTGCTGGGTGGCTGAAGAAAATAGAGGAGGGAAAGGTAAGTAGGAGGGACAGGAGGGACAAAAGTGTGGGGTCGGGGTGGAGTGGGTCGTTTGAGCTAAAGTTGGAACAAAAAGAGAAAGGTAAGGAAATGCAGCTAACCTGGAACCACCCCAGCTCAGAGGACGGAGACACAGAGGCCCTCCTACCCTGACCAGCCTGTGTGCTTACAGAAAGAGGAGCGGGTAGAGAGAGAACAAGAGCAGAGTGCAGCTGGCCTGGCAAGCTGGCACTGGGTATTAAATACGGGATGTGAAAGGAAGCCAGCTGGGTGGGGGCGCAGAGTACGAATGCAGGATGGTCTGTTCGCTTGCGTTCCTGTCTCACGCCTCTTGGCAAGCCTTCCCTGACACCCAGAGGTCTGGAGACCCCTTACAAATTGTAAGATGCTGGGGGATTCTTCAGGGTCGAGCTCCATGCTGTGGATGCTATTCTCAGCTTTGGTAGCTCTTTGGATGATTAGGTTACTGACTCTCGTTCAGCCAGTATGTGGCTCTTCACTGGCTGCATCTCAGATGCTGGTCATCCTTGGGGGAGTCCCTTCAGGAGTGCAGTCGCCAACACTGGTCCCAAACCAGGCTTGAATGGGTCCCATTCCCAATGTTTGGAGCCAAGGTTTATGTCATTTGCAGATTCTAGCTCTGACTAGGTTTCCACATCACTGACCGTTAATACCGCCTGCTTTTGATTTATTTTCCTTCTTACAGCCTGGCGGTATTCTGCTGACTGGGTTCAGCATATAAACTCTGAGCCCCTGCTTTGAATTTCCTGAGCATGTAGTTCATAGAGGATCTTAGGCCACCAAGCCATGGAAACAACAGGGGTCTCTAAAATATTATCTTATGGCTGCCAAGAAGGGGGGGTGTCTTCCCACCATCTCTCTTCTCTCTGTAACTGCTATGGACTTTTTTGCGGGGGCAGGGGGCAGGGGAGTCTGGTTTCCCCACATTCTTTGCTCTTCAAAATGTCTGTCATTGAAATTACAGTGTAAATTTTCTGGGTTTTTCTTCCCTAAATCAGAGCTCCTGCTCTCTGTGGTTCAAGAAATTTATTTTGAAACAATTTTTGATCTACATTTATTAAAGACAAAACCAAGTTTTCATGCACAATGGGACGAATGTGCTTGTTAATTTTCATATAAGCAGATCTTAGCCAAGTATTTGATATTGAAGAACACAATGTATTTTCAATGTTTTCCAGAGTTGATTATATTTCAAATTTATAATAGTCAATGCTGAAACTGTTGCTTTGTAAGAATATGTAGCATAAAATGACAGAAGAATATACAGGGCCATTCCAGATTTTGTTGGAAATTCTATTCTCATAATCCCAGGCCAAAATCTATTCAACAACATAATTATTTTAATGTATTTTTGATGCATGTATGTGTGGTATATATGTGTGTGCATATGTGTATACAGGTGTACATGTTTGTATATGCATGTGGGAAGGTCATGTGAGGTGTCTGCCTCTGTCACTATTTACCTTACTATTTTTTATTTTTTAAGACAGGACATCTGATTGAGTTCAGAGCCCACTTATTGGCTAGACTTGGACAGCCTAGATTTGGAAGAAAGCCTTCAGGCACTTCCTGTTCCAGCACTGGATCCCACTACTACACTAGACTTTTTACATGAATGCTGGAGACCCGAATTCAGCTCCTCAGGTTTGCATGCAAACACTTTACCCCCTGAGCCACCTCCCCAACTGATGTGGGATTCCCCTCTGTATGCTGTGAATATGTTTTATTACAGTTGGTTAGTAAAGAAGCTACTTTAGACTATGGCAGGGCAGAATAAAGCTACGAGGGAAATCCGAACAGAGATACATAGAGAGAGTAGGCGGAGTCAAAGAGACGCCATGTTGCTACTGAAGGAGAAAGATGCCGGAATGCCTGAACCTTACCGGTAGACCATGGCCTTGTAGTGATACACAGATTAACAGAAATATGTTAATTTTAGACTGAAGAGTTAGTTAATAAGAAGCCTGAGCTTATAGGCCAAGCAGTGTTGCAATTAATATAGTTTCAATTTAGTTGCAATTAATATATTGCAATCAATATAGTTGCAATTAATAATATTTGGGTCTGGGTAGCAGGAATGAACAAGCAGTTTCTACCTATACGCAACCCTGATTATTTTCAGTATGAAACTCAAATCAGTAACTCAAACAAAAATTTTAAAAACCAAACATTCCAATCCAATGAAATCCAAAGATAAACTAATTTGATGCATGCTGAACAGCAATAGTAGGGAAAGTATTAGGAGTGGGTTTTAAGCGGGAATGGTGGCACACACCTTTGACCCCAAGCACTTTGGAAGCAGGGGCAGGTGGATGTCTGAGTGTGAGGCCAGCCTGGTTTACAGAGTGAATTCCAGGACTGCCAGGGCTACACAAAGAAACCCTGTCTCGAAAAACCAAAACAATAACAACAATGAGAGGTTTTGGTCTTTCTGTTTCCTAGAGAGCATTCTTGCCATATGCTCTGCTCACCATATTCTCCTTCTCCTCGGGTCCAAAGCAATAGACCAGAAGACCTTGGGATAAAACTTCTAAAACTTCACTACGTGGAGAATCCAACTGCCATGCTAAGAGCAGGCCTGTGGAGAGGCCTTCACGGCAAGAAACCAATGCCCATGTGGCAAGCCTATGCACTGAGGCCTGCCAGCCAACCCACACACTTGAAACCAGCACACTTGAAAGGGGATTTTCTCCCGGGTGAGCCCTCAGATGACAATAGACCTGGCTGACACCATGACTGCTTCCCTGTGAGAGACTCTGAGTCACAGGATCCAACAAAATGGCGTATAAATTCCTGACCCGCAGACATGGTAAGGTAAAATGTATCATTCCAAAGACAGTCAGCTCTCCCCTGGGTAACTTCAGCCGTCTTTATCTGCTTGTCAGGCAAATAATCTTCATCGAGTTCAGCAGTTCTCAACCTTCCTGGTGCTCTGACCCTTTAATATAGTTCCTCATGTCGTGGGGACCCCTGACTGTAAACTTACTTTCATTATTGCTCCATAGATGTTCTGTTTCTGTTCTTATTTGTAATGAAAATACCTGTGTTTAGGTGACCACCATCTCCAAGTCCAGCAGGGTCAGTTGCTAGACACAGAGCACCTGCTTGCATCTGGGTCTTGTTCTCAGATTGCCTCTCGGAATCTACTCTCTCATGGGGGAAAACGTTTCTTAGTCAGGCAAAAATGGACAGGTGAAAAATTCCACTAAGATCATTTCCACATACAAATTTCTTCCTAGAGTTTTAATGAAACACTTCTCACGGGCAGAACTGTGGATCCGATGGCCCTGGCCTCCTGCCAGACACATCCGTGCAGCGGCACAGCTGGCTCACTAGCAGCTTCTTCACAGAGGTTGAAGAATCTCTGACAGCATGGCCAGGCCTGGGAGGAAGCTCACAAGCAGACTTTCCAGTTCTTCTGGCACAGTCGACAAGAACCGTTGCTTCATCCTTCTGTCTCTAAAGTGGAGATCCCGGACCCCACCAGAGCTTCCACCGCTAACCAACCTCCATGGTCTAGCTCATGTGTTTACCCTGCAGGCCATAACAAAAGCTTCTGACGATCAGGAATAACCCCCTCAGGTGTACTCAAGGTAGGGCTGGGACAAAAATAGAGAGGGTGTAGGGTGGGAACATTTAATAAAAGACACAAGTCCTAGGGACAGAAGCCAAAGCCATTTGGCTCAGGTGCACACATTCCATGCCTTAGGAAGCATGTTTTGGTCTGGTCCATCTGAGCTGGGCACAGTGTAGGGGCTGGGAATGCACCATGGAGAAACATCAGACTCCATGGATTCTCTGCTTCTCAGCCCTTGTGGGAAGATCTCCCACACCCAGTCCAGGCAGAATATAGCCCACAGGGGCAAGAAGACATGGGGGGGCTTGGGGGAATGGGGTGTACTGAACACATAACTCTCAGGCAGTGATCAGAGCCCATGGAGCTTTCATGTCTCTGAGAGTGCATTGTAAGACACTGTTCTGTCCCTGCACTAGTTCAGAGAGGCCTTCGGCCACGGGAAATCACTCTCTGTGCACAGTGTATTGGGGACAGGCTCATAATAATGATGGATCTTGCAGGCAAACAGGAAGAAACCACACTACCTAATGGAGGAAACAGAATTCATCCTCCCACACATCCTTCAAACAAGGGCAAATAACTACTCCAGCCTTGTTGTCAGTGGTCAGAGTGTAATTGTTGGGAGAAAAATCATGTAGCAGATAAAGCTGGCCCATAAAACCCCTGAATCAAGTCCTGGTTCCATCACCTACTAGCAGTGGCGTTTTAGACCAGTGTCTTTAAGGCTTCTCTGAGTTCTGGGTTGTTCAGATGCACTGTAGAGAAAGCCACTCCGAAACACCATGCAGGTTCACATACTTGGTACCAAGAAGCCCTTTCTATTAGTCTATCCTTGGCTAGAACAGGGGGAGCCTTCGTAGTAAGTTGGGTTTAATATGCTCATTGCTTACAGAAAGACTTGCAAACACCTTTGTGTCCAGACTAATGTCCAGGGGACAGTCAAGAAGGGAGACAGAACCAAGCATGGTTCTGCAATCCCAACACTCAGGAGATAGGGGCAGGAAGATCAAAAGCTCAACCTGGGTTACACAGTGAGTCCCTAGGTCAGCCTGAGCCACCTGCAGCATTTGAAGTTCAGGAGGTTGATGTCATTCCCTGTCACCATGTAGAGCTGTCTTCTTGGAGAGTCTCATTTTGTTTTTCAGGTAAGAAAAAAAAGCAACCCTCTTCTGTAGAGAAAGCTACTCCGTAACACCATGCAGGTTCACATGTAGAGCCAAGTGAAGAGCCAGGGTTGTAGGCAAGCAATGGGTTAAAAGAAAAAGACAAAGAGCTGGAAGACTGGGCTGCTCTTTGCTTTGCCAAGTCACAGACCCTTCCTTTCTGAGCCTCCCTTTCCTCGGTGACATAATGAAGGAGTTGAAGTTGAGATCCTCAGGCTGGCATAGGCCAGCCCGAACTCTTTGGAAGAGGCTACTGAGAAAGACCACAGAGCTATGTCCAGACACAGAAGGGACGTGCACTAAGAGAGAAGACAGTCTTGTACTTTGCCATCCTGGACCAGGTTATTTGAAACTCCCTTTCAGCTCTGGTAAGTCTCTGATCCTAAAGGCCAATGTAGCGACCAGAAGTTGGCTGAGCAAATCTACCAAAACATCTCTTCCCCACGGAGGCCACACTGATTTCTGCCTTGTTCCAGAACAAAGGCTGTCTTTCACTCACATCACACAGTATTTTTAAATTGTTAAATAAGTAACCAAAATTTGAAAATCAAGAAATTCCACATAATTGATATTCACTCACACAGCTTTGGTGGGCTGGATGGGACCACATGAGGCAGGACTGGTTTGAATGTCTGCCCCCAGAATTCATGTCTTAGAAACAGAGCCCTCAAAGTCACATGCCAATATGGAAATGGATTAGACTATAGGGGCTTGCTGATTAATACGCTAATGGGTTTTCAAGGAAAAAAATGTTTGTTATCATAAGAGTATGTCCATGAGAAAAGCCAGGTTGGTCACTTTCAGGGGGTGTTCTTCACTTCCCCGGAAATCTTCAGAGTCCCCACTTATAAGAAGAGCCCTCCCAGTCTTCCCAGCTTCTAGGACAGTGAGAAATAAGCCTCTTTGATGTAAATGTTAGGTAGGCATTTGTTGTAGCTGGAGAGCATACTCTAAGACAAACAAACATCGGCTTTCTTAGTGACCCCGTTCATCACTAAGATCCTGCCTGGCCCCGGGAGGGACTGTGGTCCTTATCCTAGCCCCACTGTCCTCCCTCACCACCTCACACAAGCCGCATACTTGCCTTCATCAGGGGCATCCTCATCCCACACAGACCACATCTGGACACTGAAGAAGGGTGCCCAGCAAGCGATGTAGGCCAGCACGATGACAAAGGTCATCTTCACAGTTCGGATCTTTGCCCTGGAGATGGTGCTGATGCTGCTGACCCGGGACGGCAGCCTTCCAGTGGCCGCAGCGGGGGCAGAAGATGAGGACTCCCAAGTCCTCCAGCCCTTTCCTTCCTCCCTGCCAGCCTGTGTCTTCACTTTAAGGTTCTTGTAGATCTCACAGCAAATGAGGCTATAACAGGCTATGAGCATGGCCACGGGTAGCACAAAGATGGCCACGGTGGTCCAGGTGATGTAGGCCCGTGGCCCCCAAGGAAAATAGAAATCTGCCCAGCAGTCCAACACCCCTGAGCCCTGAATCACCTCTCGCAGAGAAAAAATGAAAATCTGAGGGAGGCTGAGGATGGCAGCCAGCAGCCAGGGGGCAGCAATAAGAGGGTAGGTGGAATGGCTGGGCTGCTGGAGGCTGCGAAGGGGATGACAGACAGCCAGGTACCGGTCCAGCGTCATGGCCAGCAGCATGTAAGTGGAAGCAAACATGCTGAGCACCTGCAGATACTTGACGGCCCGGCAGAGGATGTCAGAGCCCTGGAAGCGGTAGGTGATATCCCAGAGCAACTGAGGCAGTACCTGGAAAAGCGCCACGCCCAGGTCAGTCAGGGCCAAGTGCAACACAAACAGGTGCATGCGGGACTGCTTGCGGCCCTGGCAGCCCAGGGTCAGTAGTACAGCCAGGTTGCCCCCTGTGGCCAGAACCAGGACAGTAGCTAGGATACCAATCTCCACCTTGGCTAGTTCTTCATCCCTGCCCAGCCAGGGTATGGTAGCATTGGGGACAGACAGAGTGCCCCCCGGGGAGGGAGCGGCGGTCAAAGAAGACTCAGAATCCATGGTCAGGATTTGAGGGAGAGAAGATTAGGAAGGTGGAGGGAGGGACCATGGGGGGGGCCGTAAAAAATTGAATAGATAAAATGGAGTGGGAGAGAAAGCTGTAGAGGTGGCGAGAAAAGGAGGGGAGAATGGGGGGGGCGGGTGAGGGCTTGGAAACGGGTGAAGTTCAGTGGATAGGAATAGGGAGGAGAATGAAACCAGCAGGGAACAAAACTGACATCCCCAACCCTCACCGAGGTCAGGGAATCACGGAAAGAAAAGGAGGGTCTGGGAGTTGGGTGTCAGTGCGGCAAGGATGGAGGGGGTTGGAGAAGGGGGCTTCTGAAAGGTGGCACAGAGGAGGAAAGCAGAGGACGCCGCTGCCATCTCCCAAATCCAACCCAAATTCACTTTGTCCAAACTTTTCTGAAAGTGGAGAGAGTGGATGTCCTCGAAGGCGCAGTCCAGGACCATGGGCGTTGCCTACAGGAACTGGAAACCCAGCTAAGCTGCGCAGTTGGAGTTCTGACCCTCACCAGAGGAGTAGCGCAAGCACCAGCCCAGCAGACACGGCAGTCCAGAGCGGTTTTTTATGTGCTTGGATTCCTAGTCCAGAACTGCCGCTTGCCGGTTGGCTCCTGCAGAGGAGGGTGGAGTGAGACTCAGAGGCACCCTTCGGACAGGGATACTGAGGGGAGGGGCTGAGGAGCTGGGTGGGACTGGCGGAGGAGGATCAGGGAACAGAGTAGAAGGGAGAAGCAAGCTCTCACCTGCTGCCGGGATCCGTTGAGCAGCAAAGAAACCCATCTACGTGAGCATCGACTCTCTCCAGACAGCTGCACGCTCGAGATGGGTGTGCATGCTTGTACATTTGTGTGTGTGTGTGTGTGTGTGTGTGTGTGTGTGTGTGTGAGAGAGAGAGAGAGAGAGAGAGAGAGAGAGAGAGAGAGAGAGAGAAACATAGGTGGCCTCTCTTCCCAAACAAATCTTCAGGGATTACTAAGAAACATGTCCTAAAGAAATCGACGTTGGGGAACTAGATGTGACAGCCATTTGTCTTAGGATGGACACTTGGCGCTTTGAAGAAAAAAAAAAAAGTGAAGACATTTGTGATTGAGAGGGGTGTGGGGTGGGGTGGGGATGGGGGTGGGGGCAGGGGATGGGTGGAAGGAGCTAGACCTGGGAGCCCTGGCGCCATTAGAGCAGATGACAGGAGAAATCCCAAGTGGAGTTTGCATCTCCAGGGTAAGTCTGAACCTCTGGCCTCTCTGGGGGTACATTTCACTAGCTAAGGGTGGCATTAACCACCCTGTGAGGCAGAAGCACAGCGACTTAGAAATTCTGTCACTTACTTAGAAGGTTATAGTCATCAGCAGCGCAGAACCAGAACAGACCAGCGTGCCTACGTTCTGCAACACGGCAGAAGCGAATACATTATCTTCAACAACACTGATGTGACGTGAGCTGTCGGAGAGGCGGCTACTGATCGCAAACAAATACCATCTGGCCCAGCTCGATGGAGCAGGCACCAAACGGTGTAAGTTGGGAAATTCACTTTATCTTCTGGAATTTTACACTGTTGGGACTCACTAGGTAGGTTAGAATTCATGAGGAGCTGTGATGTATGATCCAAGCTTCAGGAAGAACAAGCTCTGTGATTGCAGGTCCGCTTTGGTTTTTTAATCAAAGCTGATTCAAGCCCCTTGACGAAACCACCTACCCACACATCCAGTTTGTATCTTTCCTAGGTTGCTATACCTGCTGTACACCTCACAAATTCTTCATCTTGTGCTTTGCTGCCCAACCTTCCAATTTTCCAGAATTTTGCTCTTTGTGAACCCATTATTTCATTCTCTCTGCCGGATCATTCCTACCTCTGTGCAAACACACCCTAGTACTCTTCGTTAAAAAGAAGAAAAAAAACCTAATCCTCTCCAGAGAGTGTACCCAGATTTCCAAATGTGTGCTCTTCCTGCGCACGGCATTGCTCCCAAAGATTCACTTTTCTTTTCTAAACCGGACTTCACCGCCCTGCCACTCAGAATCTGACTGCCCCAGCCTCCCAAGGCTGGGACTACAGGTATGAGCCCCACAAAGTGCCTCCAATCATTCATGTCTACACCGCTTTGAGTAGAGATATCTGCTTTTAAAATACAATAAAAACGACAGCAAACCATGTGTGCCATCTTTGAACTTACTTTTTTGGTTTTGTTTCTCTTGGGGGTGGAATATTTTTTGCTTTGAGACAAGGTTTTTGAGACTTGAAATTCCCTATATAGTTAAAGATAACTTTGAACTGTTTAGGTGTGTGTGTGTGTGTGTGTGTGTGTGTGTGTGTGTGTGTGTGTGGAATTCAGGGAATAACTTTAGAGGGCCAGTTTTCTCCTTCTACCTTGTGAGCCCCTTAGGTCATCAGTCCTGGAAATAAGTTTCTTTACCCACCAAGCTTTCTCAGGGCCCCCACCTCAAACTCTTGCTGCTTCTGCCTCTAATGCCCAGGTGCTGGGATTACAGGTGTGTTCTACCTCCACTGGCTCTGGACCTTGAGTTTTAAATTCTATTGTTTTTGAGGTTGCCTGTTCTGATAGATGGTATAAATCTAGTTAACTGACATTAAACTGTTTTCTATTTTTTTAGAACTGGGTTTTCATAATTGAAGCCATCCAGAGATTTTTTTCTTATTTGCTGTGTAAATTCATCAAGCTTTCTCTCAGGTAAATAGCTAGTGTTGTTGGGTCATACAGCGAATGATCTTGTTGTTTATTCCGTTTTTTTGAGACAGGGTCTGTCTGTTCTGGAACTCTGTAGACAAGGCTGGCCTCAAACTCACAAAAATCCTCCTGCCTCTGCCTCCTGAGTGCTAGGACTAAAAGCATGCACCGTCACTCCCAGCTACGAATGAATTTTTAAAGAGATAAGCCACATCCTGCATGCTTGTCTCTGAACTAGCTGCTGCACTAACTGCATTTTAGTTTTCCTGTCTTCCCATGGGTAGACTTTTCCATTTTTGTCAGCTTGATCTGCATGACACGGCCCTTCCTTCTGTTTTTGTCGTTCTCTGATTATGATTGGTTTTGAGGCTCTTCCCACACTTCTACTTGTCTTGGTTTCCTCTTTTATTAATCGTTCACACCCTCTGTACCACTTCTGATGTGATTTGTCACTTTGCAAGTCTTTCTGCATGTTCTGAGATGGATCTTTTATGTGTTATGACATGTTGCAAATATAAGCTAGGCTCTCTGGCTCGTCTCTTAACCTTAAGTGGGGTCATTTACAACATAGAAACATAATTAGGATTTAGTTGGTGTCTTTTCTTATTTCAACCTTTTGTGTTCTATGGTCTCTACTTTCAGGAGACAGAGATTCCTTCCTGCGGTGGTCGCCCTACTCCCACCCTCTGCCCTAGCATTGTTTCTCACTTTTTAGGCTTGAAACTCCATGGATTTTTTTTTCCCCCGGTGTGAAGTAAGTCTCTAGCTTCATTTTCCTCCCAGGGAACATCGATTCCTCCATTCTTTGAGCAGTCCATTTCTAGCGATCTGTTGCCTGAATAATTACCAAATTTTAAAGTTTTTATTGGGACTATTTCTAGGATTCCTATCTATATATGGTCCACTATTTTTTCAAATCCCTGTTCTAATATTTTACTATTTGAAAGTGAACTTCAATGTAATATAAAACAAAAGCAAGTCTACCTCATGTTTCTTTAAAAACTTTTAAATATGTATTATTTATAATTGTATAATTGTATATGTGTGAGTCTGTTGGGGGATATGCACATGTGAACACAATGCCCTCCAAGGTCAGAGGCTTTGCATACCCCAAGAGCTGGAGTTGTGAGCCAAGGATTGAGTGATGGGAATCAGACTCAGATCCTCTGCGAGAGCAGCAAGTCCTCTTAACCACTGAGCCACCTCTCCGGCCCCTCTCTCTCTTGTTCTTCTCAAGCTGTTTCTCAAAACTTTGAAAATTATAATTTTGTCAGTCTGTCCAATTCCACAGAAATCTCTGCTGAACTTAGGTCAGAAACATTGGATTTGGGGGAAAAAGTAGAATTATGCATGGTTTTAACTAGGTTTAACATCCTTCAATAATTCAATAATGCTCCATATCTTTCCTCATGAAAGTTTTTTTCCACCCTGCGGGAATTGATTCAATCTACCTTACAATTTCTGCTGCCACTATGCACATTGCTGTAATCTACTGCGTCTCCTATTGATTGACTGTCTGGTTGTTGCCAGTAAATGGAAACAGTACTGGACTTTGTATCATGTTCCTATATACAGCAGATTTTCTTTCATTAATATTTTTATTTTTTATATTACACAGTGTTCTGCCTGCATGTGTGCCTACACACCAGAAGAGAGCACCAGATCTAATTACAGATGGTTGTGAGCCACCATGTTGTTGCTGAGAATTGAGCTCAGGATCTCTGGAAGAGCAGCCATTGCTCTTAACCTCTGAACCATCTCTCTGGCCTCTATAGCAGGTTTTCTATAGCGTGTAAATTGTCTAGGCCTGTAATATTGCCTGCAACAACATTAATTTGGCTATCTAGTCTCAGTTTAGCTCATGTTTCTTTTTCTTATCTTATTGCTAAAACTGAGATCCAAGTACAATGCTGAAGAGCAGAAATCATTGATGTTTTTAATGGATCTAAATTCTGTCCTGAAGCACAAGGTTTTATAGCTTTTCTTCAGTTACAAATTTTAAGTTGAATTATTTTTTACCTACATATACTAGTCAAGGGAATCTACAAAAGGTGTTACTAATAAAAGTAGCCTCCTCAATTGCCTCCTTTTTTTTTAACCCACTGGAGGCAATTCTTTCCTTCCACCTTAATTTTTTTATTAAAGAAATAATGAATCATATTCAGAACTAGAGAGTGCAGCACGGAAACTTTGTTTCCATTTCTCAGGTGTTGCAGTAATCAGTAGATAGACAATTTGATTTCATCTGAATTTTTTTTTTTTTGGTTTGTTTTCCAGACAGGGTTTCTCTGTAGCTTTGGAGCTAGTTCT